ATTGCCAGTTTACTCATTGTAAAAATAAGATGCTATGCAAAGACTATTAAGGATGAGGATAAAGTACTCTGAGTAACTTCTAATCATGCCACATCATTTGTGCAGCCTCGTTTTCACCACCAGACAGAAAAACTAGGTTCCAAGACAAGAAAGAAATCAAAGTGCCATTTTCCCTCCATCGCAGTAAGTTTCAGCTGCAGAGGATTAATATGCCTGGCAATGTTTTCATACTAGAAATGATAATCACAAATTGTGAGAATACACTGGGTCTTATTTGTGGTAAAGGGGCCAACCAACCTTTCTATGAACTAAATAAATAGCCTGTCCTAGGCTCTATGTACCAGTTTATTTAATATTAATACCCCACCACAAGCCTTTGAGGTACATCTTTAGTTCAATTTCATGCATGAAGAAACAAAGCATAGAAAAAAGTAACATTTAAAGCTAAACTGCATAGCCAGAACCCTTTTTCAATTATCTGGCCAACAAACTCAAGATAATCAGAGCACGCACACAACAAACACTTTCACAGTATGCAAGCTTAAATTAAAAATCCAATTTAGACTCTTCTCAAAATCTTACCATTTTGCGCAGTTTAACCACCCGGGTACCACCATTCTTGTCTCCACCAACCGGTTTTGTGACAGTCGCAAGAACCTTCTCCTTCTTTTTCTTTTCGATCTACAAGGATATAAACGCACCAAAAATTTAGAGACAAATAATAGCTTAATGTGAAGGCACAACTGTCAGTGGTTCACATCACCGCTTACCCTGGATTTAGTGGCCGAGTATTTCCTCTTGTACATGGCCTTCCTGGAATACATGGCAGACCGGGAATATCTGCCGATGCCCCGGACTAGGACAGGGTTTCGGCTGCAATGGGGCTTCCCCTTCTTGGGCTTTTTAGCCTTAGGGGCATCCTTTTTAACCTTGCCACTGGCATCAGCCTTCTTGGCTTCAGGTTTCTTCTCCTTAGTATCCTGCTTTGCAGCTTTATCGCCTGCCATCTATCATGGAAAAAACAAAAACAAAAATTTTACCAATGAGCCATTAATCAGACAATTTTGCAGCCGTACACAGCTGGGTCCAGCCCACCGCACAATTCTACAAGACATTAGGCCACACTCCCCAACTCCACACCTCTCTTCCACCGTCATTATAGTAAACTTTGGAAATACCCTATACCCATTGGGCTTTAGCAATCAAAAGTCCCTACACCAGTATTTTAGTATTCCTGTTTTACTAACCAGACACTGTTTTAAGTCTGGACAGCTACGAAGGGGCAAGACTAGAACTTGAAACCGTTGGTGTGCAGGGTTTTTGCTCTTAACTTTTAAAACCAAGCTCTCATTCCAGAAATTCAGTTTAGGAGATCAAAACACAAAAATATTATGAGCCCAAACTTAGCTTAAACTGGTAGAAGCGCAAATTCTGGGGTGACTTCCGGTCGCATACGTGGGGAAGACGGGAAGGTAGCTTTTGGCTTTAGCCGCAATCCCCAACGTGGCACTGAGACAAACTCAGCGGCCTCTTCAGGAAGCCAGACCCGAGTCCGGAGAGCACGCCGCCGCCCTGGCCCTTCCTGCCCTATCCGCCCACCCCAGATGCCGCAGAGGCCCGGCTCCTGCAGCCCAAGACACTGGCGAGCAGGCGGACCTTCTACGGCATTCCACCTCACCCTCTTCGCACCCCGCCGAAAACCTAAGCGAAAGAAATGAAGAGTCTGGAAGGCATCTCAGTTGGCCCTGGGCACGTCCGACCCCCGAAGGTGCTGACTTGATGACCTCCAGGTTTGGATGGCGAAAGATTGGGGGCCCTGAAACCGACTCTTGCAAAGAGACCTGCCATCCTTACCGTGTATAGTGGGAAAGAGAACTAAACGGCCTGTTTCCGGTCTATAAGCAATCGCGGGAGGTTGACTCTTACTTCCTTCCGGATCTGAGGCATTATGGGAAATGTAGTTTTTCTTCCATTACGGCAAATGCAGTAAGTCCTGTACGGAGCAATTTTACCTCATTAGACATGGACGATAAGGACAGTTTGTCTTACAGTGTGCAATTTTTTTTTTTTTTTGAGGGGGACAGGTTTTTTTGCTATAGGGCGCGTGCGCTTGCCAGACAGACAGACAGAAAGCGAGAAATCACCCCCTGGGGGGATGGCTGCGCCACAATCCCTTCTCCTCCATTCTCCTCTCGGGATCTTGGGCATGCACACACATGTGCCCGGCATGAGTTTAAGCCGCCGGGTCCGGGACTCGAACCGCGGTCGACTCCGTGGGAGTCCAGGGACATAGCCATTACGCTAACTGCTGGTCCTTACAGTGTTCAATTTTAAAGACCGATTTTTTTTTTTTTTTGAGAGATGTTTTTGTTAGAGGGCATGTTCACTCACCGTAGAGTTGGAGAGAGAGAAAGCCATAAATCATCCCCCTCCACCTAATGGCTACATGGCAAGCTCTTCTCCGCCATTCTCCACTTGGGAATGTGACCACAAAGGCCCAGGGCTCCTGTGTTTCAAGACGCAGGTCTGGGGTTCAAACGGCTTTGCATCATGTAGGAGTCTAGCATAACCACCATGCCACCTACTGGATCCCCAGTGATCCTTTCTTTTAGTAATCAGGGCCAACAGGTGCCCCAAAGGTTAAGAGACTGGATCCCAGATGGCAGACAGTGCGGGGCGAGTACCTGACAGCAGCTTGAAAAACACGCCTGGCTCGTGTGTGGGTATCCAAAATCCAGAGGGGAATGGAGGAAAAAGGGATGTAATGGGGCCACCCCATTCCCAAGGGGGAGCACTTTCTCATGTTCTGTCTTTCTTAGGTGAGTGCACACTATGGCAAAAATCTAAAAAAGTAATAATATTAGTTAAAAATAAAATCCAGGGCCAGCCTTTGGCCTAGCAGTTATGGAAGTTGGAAATGGATTCCATATGGCTGACTCTGTGGTTGGAGTCCTAGACCTGGTGGCTTAAAACATGTTTGGGGGGGGCTACCTGGTGGCACAGTGATCAAGGCACTGGACTCCCATGTTATCGACCACGGTTGGAGTCTCAGACCTAGCGGCTTGAAACTCATGCCAGGGGTGTGTGTGTGTGTGTGTGCGTGTGTCCAAAATCCCAAGAGGAAAATGGAGGACAAGGAGAGACTGTGGTATGGTCATTCCTGGGGAGGGGGTGGTTCTCACATTGTGGCATGGCCATCTTTCCTGTGGTAGAAAGCATTCCCCTCAACAGGGCATTGGTCACTCCACATTTCCTTCTTCCCCATTTCTCCACCTTGTTGGGATTTTGGGGAAGCACACATACATTTCTGATGTGTCTTTCAGCCGCTAGGCCAAGATTTTAACTGTGTGTTTGGCCATGTTGGATCTATGGGATCCCGCGGTAACCACCAGGCTACAGAGCTGGCCCAAGTGCCTACTTTCCTAGGCACTTTTTCTAAAACTTGATTTATCTATTTCTTGAGAAAAAGGGGAAGAAAAAGAAAGTGATGTCTCCCACAGGGTCCTTCCATGATATGTTCAGGTCAGTTCAGACTGACAAGAGGACTGAATCTAGGCACCCCTAGTATGGCCCCAGTATTGGGGAATAGTGTTCTTCCACTTAGGCCAGCACTGCTGGGCCTGCCCGGAGCTTTTCTAAGTACTTCACAAACCTACCCTTAGGATAGGTATTCTAATCCATTTTACACTGAAGGAAACTGAGATGCGGGAGTCAAGTCACTTGCCTATAGACACCCAGGTAGGCACAGCAAGAACTTAGCCTCTCCATGACACTGCCTCTGACTTCTAGAATGCAATGTGTGAGGATAAAGTGTCCTGCAACCATCTATCCCAGACCTGGAGACTCGGGTAAGGTATATGTGTAACTACAGAAATAATTACATATATAAAGTTATATGTATCTTATATACTATATATTTTTATATATTTAAACACGTTTATCATATATACTTTAAAGACATACATATATATACACACACACACAGACAACATGTACATATATATAGGGGCTGGCAACAGGGAAAGAACAGATGACTGTCAGAAACTTGAGGGGGGAGTGTAGCTGGTGGCATGGAGGGCAGCTGGATTCCACCTGGTAGACTGTGGTTTCAGTCCTGGACTGGGTGGGTTAAAAAACACACCTGGTGGTCATGTGTGCTCCAAATCGCGAGGAGAATGGAGAAGGGATTGTGGTCACTGATATTCCCCCTGGGGAGTGTTCTCTGTTAAAGGGCATGCACACTGACGAGAGAGAGAGAGAGAGAGAGAGAGAGAGAGAGAGAGAGAACATAAAAAAACAAACTACCAGGTCTAGGACTCCAACCAGGTCCGTCATGTGGAAGTCCAACGCCTTAATCACTACTCCACCTGCTAGCTCCTCTGTGTATCTTCAGTTACACACACATATGTAATTTATCCGGTTAATTGTAGGTTTTTCCATAAGAAAACGTGTATTTTTTTGTGTTTTTGCTCACTTTTATATCCCCATAGTCTAAAACTGGGCCTAGCAGATTGAAAACACTCCATCGGTGTTTATCCTAACAGCTAACACAAAGCACGGACTGTACCAACCAGGTCCAGTTCGAAGGGACTTTACATACTGAATCGCCACGATAACTCTATGAATAAAATACACTTGCTATTTTTACTTATAGAACCGAGAAGGCAGGAATCGGAAGCTGAGAGATGAACTTTCCCAAGGTTATACAGCTACTTCTGTAAATGGAGCGGCGATTTGTGGGACGAGACGAAGGAAAGTCAACACGGCTGTTAGCTCGGGGAAGGAAACTGACACGGCGGAGTGGAAGCAACACGTCCGGAGGGCGCGTGTAATACGAGCGCGCAGCTCGCTCCCGGCCCAGGTTTGAAGGGGGAAGCGGGGATGTCCTGAGGTCTGTGTGGACGGACCCCCCCGCCAGCCATTACCAGCGGCCGCCCATTCCCCCGGCAGACCGGAAGCAGGAAGTAGGGGCGGTGTCGCGTGGGTGACGTCACGGTGGTGCCGGCGGGAGCCTGAGCAAGGAGCGGGTCCGTTGCGGAGCCGGAGGGCGGGAGGAACATGACATCGCGGAGGTGAGGAGCCCCGAGGGGCCCGGCCCGGGCCTCCGCCCGGGCCCCGCCGCGTTCGGTCAGCGGGTTCCGGGAGGGGGCGCCCCGGCCGGGCTTCGCACTCCCGCCCCGTTTGATGGGGGCTGTTTTCCTCTTCAACCCCTCGCTCTCCCGGGGCCGGGGGCCGGGCCCCATCGCGCCCCCACCCTTCAGGTCCCCATTCATTTCCTGCCTCCCCGAGTTCCGGCTCCAGCAACCCCGGGGATACCCGTCAGGACCGGGGCAGGTAGTGCCGCCCCGGGAACTGCGGACGCCAGCGGCCCGGCTCGGCGCCGCATTCCTGACCCATTGCCTCATGAGAATTGCCTCATGGTGATTCCGAAATAACCCCGCTCACTTGAGGCTTCTCGGTCCGGGACACGGGAGGGGAGTTGCACGGGGTCGGGCCCCCAGCGGTTGAGCAGCTCTGGGTCACTCTACCAGTCGCATTTGGGACTTCGCTCTGGACCTCTGACCCTTTGCATTTCCTCCCTCCCAGCCCCCTTTAAGTTAGAAATGGAAAAACTGAGTGTATTTGCAGCCACTAGAAGTGTCTTCTTCCTTTGCGATCTTTGCTTTGAGAGATGAGAGAGAAGGGACTCGTATCTGCTGACTAGCTTGTACTTAATATTGCCTTTACTACACCCTTAGAAGTTCAGTAACTTTAATGGTACCCGTTTTACAGATGTGGAAACTGAGGCTCAGAAGCAACATAACAGTAAATGACAGGATTTGAACCTAAAGGTGAGAAGGAGAGTTAGTGAGTTAATGAGATCCTTAGATAGTTCAGGGTCATAATACCACAGGTAGCTAACATTTCCTTAGTTCACACTCTTAGCCAAATTCTTTAATTCGCCCAACTCTGAGATTGGGGCTTTCTTCCCCATTGTAAAGATGAGTTTCAGAAATTAAGCAACTTGCTTCACATCACTCAACTAATAAATAATGGAGCTAGGATCCCCACTGTTAATCACCATGGTCGTATTATTTTATAACAATTGCTAGTCATATGTAAGCCTCAATTTTGTTGTTAAACAGTAGTGTGATCTATTATTTCAGATAATGATCTTACTATTTTTGTAGCCCTGTTCTTTATATAAGACTCACACATAAGACCCATTGTCTATTCTTTTCCAGGATTATTCAGTTGTGGTCACACTGTCTTAGGCATTGGAAAACTGTTTCATGTTGTTGGGGCAGTTTGAATGAGAGATTTTTCAAAACATTAGGAATGGCTTCTCAAAACACACCTGCATGTTATTCATTTATGGATCTGGAGCAAAAAAGGGGAGAAAAAAAGAAAACTGAAAACTCTTAGGAAGTGAGTGACTTGGACAGGTCTGTTGGCAAATGCTTACAGATCTGGGTAATATATAACTGCATTTCAACGGACCAGTGTATAGCCTCAAATGTTCTAATTCTTTAGGGAGCTTTTAAATAAAACAGTTGTCTATTCTTTAATCTGTCAAATAGTCATTGAGCCTTTTGTTCCTTGTGTCTGCTCTTCCAGACAAGTAAGGATCTGCTGCCTTAGGAGACAAAAAGACCGGGGGCTGGGGGTGGGGAAAGGGGCCCCGTAGTAATAGACCCTACATTGTGCAGCTTGTTAGTTTAAAAGCAGGGAAGTGTGGGCATAGCCAAGGCAGCAAGTTGTAAAGATGACAGTTTGAATGGAGTAATTACTTCTCCTCTCTAGCTCTGGTATTTATTTAAATATATATTTTTAAAGGACAGGTTCACTTTGTTGCAGACCTCCTGCCTTAACTTCCCAGCTGGGACTATAGGCACCTGCCACTGAACCTGGTCTTTAGGTTAGACCAGGAGTCGAACTTGGGCCTCCTAGTTGGTCCCAGCCTGCAGAACACAGTGTCTTAGCTATGTATACCACCGAATGGGCCTGTAGGCTTGCTATTTCCTAGCTGTTACAGAGAAGAAATGTGTACCACCTAAGGAAGTCAGATTATGAACACAACACATGTAATTGTGAATTATTTTTTTAGGTGGTAACTGTTTTCTTATTTTGAAATGATCTTTATTGTTGTATAAATGGCATACAATACACTGCATATATTTAAGCATACAATTTGATAAGTTTTGACATGTGTATACACTTGGGAGTAATGAACGTCTCTCTCACCCCTCGTGATGTTCCCTCATGCCTTTATAAGCCCTTCTTTGTTCTCAGACAACCACCGTTCTACTTGCTGTCGTTATATGTTAGGTCGCATTTCCTAGAATTTTCCACAAATGGGCTTCTGTAGTATGTGCTCTTTTTTTGGTCTGACTTCTGCTATTTATTTATTTATTTATTTATTTATTCATGCATTTATTTAATTTATTTATTATTGAATTGCTGGGCAAGTCATGACACATTTTTGCATAGAAAAATACATCATGATTTTCCCAACGACCTAATATTATTGCTATTATTGTAAAATTTGCTATAGGGCATTGTGCTCACCAGACATGGGGGGGTGGGGACAGTGAGAAAGCAAGCCACCAGGACTGGCATTCACACCGCGGTCGGTCCTGTGGGAATCCAGCACTGGAACCACCACAGCACCTGCCGGCCACTTGGCCTGGCATCTTATGCTCAGGATAATTATGTTAAGCTTCATCTGTGTTATAGTGTGTGTCAAATAATAGTTCAAATAAAAATGACCTTTGATTGCTTGTTAGTATTCCATTGTGTGGCTATACCGCAGTTTGCATATCTGTTTACCTGTTGGTGGACCTTCCGTCGTTTCCAGGTTGGCTATCACAAAAGATACTCTGAATACTTGTCTCTCAGTCTTTGTGTGGACGGAAGCTTTCATTTCTTCTCAGTAAATACCTACATGTGGAATGACTGGATCACATAGTAGATGGATATTTAACTTTCTCAGAAACTGCCAAACTCTTTTCCAAAGCGGTTCGACCATTTCCTTTCCTACCACCAATGTATGAGTTAGAGTTCTTCACATCCCCACCAACATTCAGTATAGTCAGTCTTCTTAATTTTAGCTGTTTTAGGAAACGTGCCGTAGTATTTCATTGTATTTTCCCTGATTACTGATAACTGTTGTTTATCTTTGTATGTGCTTATTTGTCATCTGTATTTTTATTTGATAACTTGTCTGGTTAATGTTTTGCCTTTAAAAAATTTTTTTTGAGGGGACCAGGAGATAGCATGGCGGTTAATGCGCTGGACGCTCCTGCATGGCCGACCATTGTTCGAGTCTCATACCTGGTGGCTTGCTTTCTCACTTTCTCTCTCTCTTTCTCTTTCCTTCAGTGTCTCTTTTTGGTCAAATTAAAATAGATGAATAGATAAAGAAAATTAAATAATTCAAAAATTTTTTTTGAGGTTTTTGGCACTTGCCAGAGAGAGACAGTGAGATGGAAAGTGAGAAATCACCCTCCTCCCCCCCAAGAGAGATGGCTATGCCGTAATCCCCATTCCTCCACTCTCCTCTTGGGATTTTGGGCACACACGTACATGTGCCTGTTGTGATTTTCAAGCCACCAGGTCTGGGACTTGAATCACGATTGGCCTTAGGGGAATCCAGCACCTTAAATATCATGCCATGTGCCAGCCCCATTTTTACCTATTTTTTAAATTTAGTTGTTTGTTTTTGTTTTCTTATTATTGAGACTTGAGAGTTCTTTACATAATATGGCTATAAGTCCTTTATCAGAATTGCAGGTATTTTCTCTTAATCTGTGGCTCATCTTTTTTGTTGTTCCTAACAGTGTGTTTTTAAGAGCAGACGTTTTTCATTTTGATGAAGTCCAATTTATTAATTTTTTTTAATGGATCATGCTTTTGGTATTACTTAGTCTTTACTTATGCCAAGGCTACAAATACTTTCTCTTTTTTCTTTCTACTTTTTTTTTTTGTGTGTGTGTAGAGGTTTTTGCTATAGGGCACATGCACTCGTCAGAAAGAGAGAGACAAAGAGACAGAAAGCGGGAAATCACCCCCCAGAGAGGATGGCCATGCCGCAGTCCCTTCTCCATTCTCCTCTCGGGATCTTGGGCACGCATGCACATGTGCCCGGTGTGAATTTAAGCCACCAGGTCTGGGACTTGAACCGCGGTCGACTACATGGTAGTCCAGCGACATAGCCGTTACACCAACTGCTGGTCCCAATACTTTCTCTTTTTTCTTTTGCAAGTTTTATTGTTTTAGGTTTATGATTCACTTTATTTTTTTAAGTTTTTATTATTTATTTTAATTTGCTATAGGACAGGTGCACTTGGCAGAGAGAAAGAGAGAGAAGAGAAAGAAATCATCCCCAATGGGAGATGACTACACTGCAGTCCATTCTTGTCTTAGAATTTTGGACATATGCTCAGATGTGTGGCTTTTTTTTTTTTTTTTTCTTTTTTTGGGTTTTGGGCATGCACGCACACGTGTCCGGCATATTTTTTAAGGTGTTGGGTCCAGGACTCAAACTGGGCAGTCAGCTATGTGGGATCCAGCTGCCTTAACCACAATGCCACCTGGCTGGCCCTTTTTGCTATCTTTTTAAAGTTTATTTTTTTCAGGAGACAGAGAAGAAAAGAAACATCCTTGATAGGGTCTCATCATGCTGTGACCCTGCCTCCCTCCTCCAGCCCCTTCCTATAGCCATCCAGTCAGTCATGATCATGGGTGTGTGCTTAGGTTTACTGGGATCCAAATTCCAAGTCTCTCACATGGCTTCCAGCATTGCAGAGCAACACCCTACCCCTACACCACCACAACTAGGCCGGAATTAATTTTTTAAGTAGTATTTAACTTTATTATTATTGTTTTCCAGTTTGATCAAAGAGAGAGAGAAAGTGAGAAAGCAAGCCATCAGGCCTGGGACTTTAACCGCCACACCACCTACCAGCTCTGAGTAGTTTTTTTTTTTTTTTTAAAGATTTACTGATTTAATTCTATTTTTTATTGTTTTTTTTTTTTATTTGACCAGAGAGAGAGAGAAAGGGAAAGGAAGAAAGTAAGTTGCAGGACCAGC